AGGGCCCCGCTGCACCTCTGGGGGGAGAGTATTCCATAGGGCGGGGGCAATGGCAGAGAAGGCTCTCCTCCTAGGACCCGCCAGGCAACATTCTCTCACTGACAGGATCTGCAATATGCCTTCTCTACTGGACCAGGGGGTGTACAGGTTGATTGGGGCAAAAAATTGGGGCAAAAGATGCTTAAAGGAGGATGAGGAAAAGCACATGAAAATAACAGTTAACATTTGTGCTGATGTCAAATTGGAAACTTCAACTTGGGTTATCTGCAAAATTTTTCAAATGGGAATGTAAACCAAGAAACTTCAAATATTTTGCTTTCTTTATATGTAACACAGAATAATATTCCTTTGAATAATAATACAATTAGCACAGCAAGCAGTAACAGAATTCAGACTAGTGATTTGCTTGTTGTGTTATATTCATTAAATAAATAATTTCTTAGTGGATTTCCCCCTCAGATTCCACCCTGAAAATGTACAGGAGTTTCTGTCTATCAGGAAGAAAAAAAGTGAAGGATGGAAATGTGAGGTAAGTATGATTTTGGCTTCACTAAAATTATTTGATACTTCTAATTTACTTCTGACATCTTGTGACTTGAATCCAGATTAGAGGCTATGCATTTATTTTCTGGAGTTCTTGAATTTTCTCTTTTAACTGCTACCTATAATGTATTGCAAACTGTTTCAGAGTGTTCATCAAGACGCTGCAGTAGGAAAGGAATCTCTGAAACTCCAGAGCATGGGCTTTAAAAGCTTTGCTCCATGCTCTTGGTTATGTTGCTATTTTTATGCTGTGCAAGTAATATGCAGATTTTGTTCATTGGCCTGATATGTGATAGAACAATTTATGCTGAAGTTACTAAATCATAATATTAGGTTTAAATGGGAAATGCTACATTTCATTATGTGCATTAGTGTGTAAATTGTGTATGATGCATTTGGGTTCAGGATAATAGAAATAAAAAGTAATATGACTTCATGGATTATTGATATATGATTTTTTTGGTCAGTAGTTTGATCAGGTAACTTTAGTGGAGAAAGCAGTACGTAACAATCAACATGTTCAGTAAATCACCATGTACACTAAAGGTGTTACAAGACTTGAAATTACGGACAGGAATAACAGAGAAGCAAATAGTCCATAACTGTGCAATTACTCTATAATATCTAGTACAAACATTTTCAGAAAGCTACTATACTTATTAACTTGCAAGTCCATCTGCAGATAAGCCAACCCTAGAATTTTTAACCAAAATACCATGAAATACCATGAAATTCACCTGTCAATAAAGCAATCCACATTTTTTTGTGGTATTTTGGTTAAAAATTCAAAGGTCAACTATTTTGGTTAAAAATTCAAAGGTCAACTATTTTGGTTAAAAATTCAAGGGTCTATATGGGAAATATGGGTACTTTAAAAAGGTATTACTGTATATACTCGTGGATATGCTCATCTTTGGATAAGCCAAACTTGATTTTTAGGTGCATTTTTGGCACCTAAAATTCTTGCCTTGTTCACAAGGTAATATGCTTATTGATAATTCATTCCTTTTTCTGAGCAATAAGACTGTGTTTATATATGTATTTTCACAGATAACTTGGCTTTCTTCAGGAAGCTCAAGATTGTGTATTTTACATAATCATTGCATGTTGTTGTTGCTACAGATTTGCAATAAATCTTTCACACGAAGACCTCACTTGGAAGAACATAGGATTCTTCATACTCAGAATAAGCCTTTCAAATGTACCTATTGTGAAGAGCACTTTAAATCCCGCTTTACAAGATTGAAGCATCAAGAAAAGTTCCACTTAGGTAAGAAAATATTCAATGCGCATATGTTTTCTTTAATATACATTAGCTGAATTGAATTCTGTAACCCAATTTTGCAAATCTCTAATATGAAATCCTTACTTAGAGGATGTTTAGAAAAAAGACACACATTTCAGTTAATCTAGTTATTGTTAAGGATTTATATATTTTACAGCTAACAGGGTGCTTCCCCCCCCACCTCAATCTATCTATTTGGTTTTACCACCTCATTCCACCTCATAGGTAAAAGACCAATTTTGCATTTTCCTTA